CTGGGAATCAAACCAGTGACCTCTTGGTGCAGGGGTCGACGCTCAATCACTGAGCCAAACCAGCTGTGTTTTCCTTTCTTTTTATTAAAAAAATTTAATTGAATTTACTGGGGTGACATTGGTTAATAAAATTATAGATTTTAAGTGTACGATTCTATAATACATCATCTGTATATGTATTCTGTGTTCCCACATTGCATTCTGACTGTAATTTCTAACTTTGGATTTTTCCTATACTTGAGGTTCCTTCAAACAGTAATAAATCAGTGACATTCAGTTGTACAGAAAGTGGACCGCAGTCCCCTTTTATGCGTTTGCAGAGCCAGCTGTTTGCTCTGGTGTTCTTCATGAAATGCCGCCTGCACCTTTTCGGGCGTGTCCACGTTCTGGACTAGCCCAGCCTGACCTGCACACAGAAGGCTGTCCTCTAGGCTGGCAGTGGCACACTCTGAACCTTCTGCCACTGTTCCCTCTTGGATCTCGAGTCTCATTTCAATTTATTATTGTTATTCATGGGCATTCTTTTTAAAAAATTTTTATTTCTTTATTGATTTTTAGAGAGAGAGGAAGGGAGGAGAGATAGAAACATCCATGAGAGAAAACATCGACTGGCCACCACCCGCATGCCCCTAACTGGGGATTGGGCCCACAACCTGGGCATTGCCCTGACCAGGAATCGAACTTATGCTTGGGTTGATGCTGAACCACTGAGCCACACTGCTGGGCTCGTGGGCATTCTTTGTTCTCAGAAGCCTAGCTTATCTAGTGAAGGACTTTGGAGCCAGAAAGACACAAATTCAGTTCCCACCTAGTTGTGACTTAAGCAAGTCACTCAATTGCTCATGGGGACAGTAGCCACCCTGCTGTTTATGAGAGGGTTACATGAACGAATGTACTCAGTGATTATTACAGTGCCTGGAATGCAGAAATGTGGAATGAATAAATGAATACATGGATGGCCCTTAGGGGAGACCAGGCTTGGTGGGTACAATGGAAGGTCTTGAATGCCAGGCAAGACCCCCAGAGCCTCCTGGTGGGCAGAGGCAGGCACTGAAGGGTTTGAGAAAGGGAGTCGTATGATCAGACCACACTTTGTCAAGTGCAGAGGGTGCTGGATTAAGCAGAGCAGTAGGAAATGGGAGGCCTGCAGGGAATTAGTGAGGCGGCTACCGTGTTGGTTCCAATGACAGAAGAGAGGGGGTGATGGAAAGATGAGACTCCTGAGAGACTGTGCAGAGGTGCCATCAACAGAAATAACCAGGATTCAGGGTGGAGAGAAGTTGGTACTCCAAGAAGACTAAGTTATAGGTTAGGTGGAAACTAGAAAGTGATGTCATTAACAGAGATAGAGAAATCAGGATAAAGATATAATTTATGGGGGGAAAAATGCATTTAGTTTTATTCAGGTTGCTTCTGAGATATCAACAGAATATTCAAATAAAGATATGCAGAAGGGATGACTATGACATTAGAGGCCGGGAGAGGCCAGAGCTGGCAGTGAGGATTTGAGCGTCATGCCCAGAGGGCTAGATAAGGACAGGGGGAAAAATGCCACTGAAACCCAGCAGGCAAATGGAACCTCCATGGAAGAGAACAGGTGAGGGCAGAAGCTGGCCAAAGACTCACTCATGCCCAACGGTTCAAAGAGGTGAGAGAGAAAGGAGGTGTCACTGGAAACTGGCACCACAGCTGAGGTGTATCTCCCCCCAGTCTGGATGCTAGAAGCCCCGGACCAACGTGTCGGCAGGGTCGGTTGGTTCTGAGGCACCCCGTCTTGCCTTAAAGATGGCTGCCTTTTCCCTGTGTCTTCACATGGTCTTCCCTCCGTGCCCCAATCTCTCCAAGGAGCCAGTCGCACCGGATCAGGGTCTGCCCACAGGACCTCATGTTATCTTACCACTTTGAAGGCCCCATCTCCAAATACAGTCACATTCTGAAGTACCGGGGGTTAAGATTTCAACATTGGAATCTTTTTTGGTAGACACAATTCAGCCCATAACATAGGAATAGAAACAGATAATGAATTTTTTTTTAATCCTCACTGGAGGATATTTTTCCATTTATCTTCAGATGGGGGTGGGGGGGTGGGGAGAGAGAGATGTGAGAGAGACACATCGATTGGTTGCCTCCCGCAGGACTCCAATCAGGGCCTGGGGCTGAACTACAACCGGAACTGAACCTGTGACTCTTTGGTCTCGGGCCAACGCTCTAACCGCTGAGCCAAAACGGCCAGGGCCAGATAATGAATTTTGAAAGAACTCAAGGGAAGCAGGTTAGAAGGGAGGCTTTTTGAGGTTTCTCTACTGTTTGTCTTCAGCGAAGTTCAGCCAAGGGGATGGTAGAAGGCCATAGGACTGGAGAAGCCAGGGGAATTTCCGCCTTCTCTAGCTCTGGGTAGGGGGATCTCCATCTCCCACAGGACAGATCTGCAAGGTTCCAGTTTCCACCAGGTGACCCTGGCTCCAGGCACTCAGGTCACTCTACCTCCTTGGGGGTGGGCAGCAGCTTTCTGTGATTTCTATTCCCTGGGTTGCCTCACTGTCCCACGTTTGGTGTGTTAGCACCTTCATCGTGTCTGTAGCCGTGTCTCATTGGGCCAGAAAAGCAAATGCTGCAGAAAGATGGAAGGGATGAAAACTGGAAATGGTTAGTTTTCTGAGCCACGAGGGTAGAAGCTATGATCCTAGTGATTAAGACGGGGATCTCTGTCAATCTGATGGGTTTCTACCAGTTCCCATGAAGGTTTTAATTTCTACTACTCCTCCATTTTGATTAACAAAATAAAATTCCATTTTGCCTGATTGGACAATATGATTGTTCCAAAAACAACAAGGTATTAATATGAGCATTAAAGCTACTGGATAGAGATGAAGATGTTCTGTAGTTCCTTCGGTTCTTAGTACCCCAGTAAGGATGTGGAGTAAATCCTAATCTCATTCAGTCTGGCTCTTCAGATGTCATGTGATTTAATGTTACTCTCAATTCGGGGGTGCTGGTATTCTAAAAGCCGAGAGTTTTAAGTTCTTAGAAGACTGTAGAATTTAGCAAGCCAGCGGTCCCCTGCTTCCTGCAGATACTGACTTCCTGGAGGAGGCGGGAGAAGGTCCAGCTTGCCATTCCATTTTGAAATCAGCCTGCTCAGTCTACAACATTCTGTGTAAGTTTCATTTTATCTGAGTCCCTCTACTGTCACTTAAAACAGTGAAAAGATTTAAGTATGTGTGCTCTCTAGCCAAACCAACCAGTTCTGTCTACTATTTGCTTCCTTAAAAATTTTTTTTTATTTTTGAAAGTATTACCGATATCCCTTTTCCCCCACTGACCCCTTCTTTCCCGCTCCCACTCCCCTCCTGCCTTCCTCAGCCTAGTGTCCATGTCAATTGGTTGTACATATATGCATGTAAGTTCTTTGGTTTATCTCTATCCACCCTCCCATCCCTCTGAGGTTTGTCAGTCTGTTCCCTACTTCCATGATTCTGGATCTCTTTTGATCGACGGCTTATTTTGTTCATATATTCCACAAATAACTGAGATCATATGGTACTTGTCTTTCTCTGATTGGCTTATTTTGCTCAGCATAATACCCTCCAGATCCTTCCATTTCATCTCAAAGGGTAAGAGATCTTTCCTTCTTACAGCTGCATAGCATTCCACTGTTTACTTTCTGATAATATTAGAATGTACAGATTTTACAGTTACTAAATACACTTTTTAAAAAATGTTTTTATTTATTTTTTAGAGAGAGGAAGGGAGAGAGATATAAACATCAATTGGCTGCCTCCTGCATACCCCCTACTGGGGATCAAGCCCACAACCCAGGCATGTACCCTGACCAGGAATCGAGCTGGGACCTCCCAGTCCATGGGATGATGCTCAATCCACTAAGCTACCCCAGCCGGACACTAAATACATTTTAACTAGACTGAATCCTACTTAAAACTTAGATCTTCTTTTATTTATTATTTTTTTAATCCTCATCTGAGAACATTTTTCTATTTATCTTCAGATAGAGTGGGAGGAAGGGAGGGAGAGAGAAACATTACTATGAGAGGGGCACATCAACTGGTTGCCTCCCGCAGGACGCCAACCAGGGCCGGGGACCAAATGCAACTGGGGTACATGCCCTTGACCGGAATCAAGCTCGAGACTCATTGGTCCATGGGCTGACGCTCTAACTGCTGAGCCAAACCGGCCAGGGCTTAGTTCTTCTTTTAAAATATATGTAACATTTTCTTACCAACTTAATATGTCACATATTATTATACCAAAATTTATAGTTTATAGATTCAAATGGTTCTTCTGGTTAGCATTACCTTGACTTACTGCCAGGAGATCAGGGAGATAGCTATTATCTTGGCATTTCACATAATTAAAGAATAATGACACATCACATTTAGGCCCTTTTACATAAGGTTTTACGTAAAAGTGTCTTTAAAAAAATTTTTTTTCTTTACTGATTTTCAGAGAGAGAGGAAGTGAGAGGGAGAGAGAGAGAGAGAAACATTAATAAGAAAGAACATTGATTGGCTGCCTCCTGCATGCCCCCCACTGGGGATCAGGCCCACAACCTGGGCCTGTGCCGACCAGAAATCAAACTGGTAACGTCTTGGTGCAGGGGTCGATGCTTAACTACTGAGCCACACTGGCTGGGCTGTAAAAGCGTCTTTTAATTCTTGGGTCAAAAGTCACATTTTGCCTTTATTATTATCTGTATTTAAAAATAAGTTTTTCCTTTATTGATTTTAGAGAGAGAGAGAGGAAGGGAGAGAGAGGGCGAGGGAGGGAGGGAGAGAGAGAGAAACATCGATGAGAGAGAACATCAACTGCCTGCCTTCTGCATGGCCCCACTGGGGTTCGGGCCCACAACCTGGTCATGTGTCCTGACCGGGAATTGAACTGGTGACCTCTTGGTGCATGGGTCAACGCTCAACCACTCAACCACACTGGCTAGTCTCTAAAAGGCATTTAATACAGTTTTCCTATTTGGAATAAATGTTATTTTTGGACTTTTAATGACTGAAACAAGAAAGATCTAAAAGCGCAGCTTCTGGAAGAACCATTTGTTCTCGCCGGTCTTGCACCTCTCTTCGAACTCGACCTTGGCCTCCTGTCTGGCTTTGTGTTTCAGAGCAGGGTCTCTGAAGACGTCCTTGTTGACGACAGTTTTGTCCAAGGGGATATCCACAGAGTACCTTGTGGGCATGAGGTGATTGTAGTTGTAAACTTTCACAAAAGACTTGATCTTTGACCTCTTGGCAATTTTCTTCTCACCCATGGCAGCTGTCACTTTGCGGGGGTAGCGGTCAATTCCAGCCACCAGAGCATGGCTGTAGGGGCGGGCCGAGGTGCCATCATCAATGTTCTTGACGATGACTGCTTTGCGTCTGGAGTAGCGTCCGGCCAGGACCAGTACCACCTTCCCGGGTTTCATAAACTTGCCCATTTCGATGGTAACCACCCGGGCCTAGACCAGAAAGCTGGAATGTTTTTAAAAATTGGGATTCCAAAATAAATTTTTGACCCAGGGTAGCAAAGGTGGTTGGTTTGATCCCTACCTTTATCAGGGCCCAGGCATTTGCTAATCAGCAAGATTTAAAATGATAACTTACCCCTGTGAAACCCTGATTACAACCTAACCCTCTAATCTATTTTTTTTTCTGCTTATTTCTCAGTGAAAAACAACATTTTGTTTTTTTATTTTAAACCAATAAGAAAAAGTATTATTGGTTTAAAATAGTTTATTTCACTTAACCTTAACTTTTAACTGCATATAGATATTCACACTGCCATTTACTGACTAATAAACACACATACCATAGATTATCAAATATTCAAAGAAAAGCTCATGTTTTGTGTTTTTTGCCAATAAAAACTGCATGATTTCAATTAAATATGTATTTCAATTACTTTTTTCAGAGGGCACCTTTTTAAATAGATGGTCATTCTTGAGACCCTGGGATCTCTGAATATAATTTTAAATTCACGAATTTTTTTAGCAGCCCAACACTGTTGTGGACGGAACAGATTGTTTTATTTATAAGAGAGACTATGTACTTTAACTGCTAAAAATGAACTGTTTACAGTTAGTTATGTAAATTTCAGCATCTACCTGTCATTTCCTACTGAACTGGATTTTAATTTCAAAAATAACTGTCTTTCTTAGGTCTGGCCATTAGACTGATCAGCCTGCTGAGTGCTCCCCAAGTCCAGACAATTGTGTGTGACAGACTTCCTCTGAGGATGAGCTATCATCTATTTAACGTGGGACAGGACAGCTTCCCCCCAGCACAGTGATATTCTTTTGGTTTATACTCGGCCATGTCCCCAGACCACCACTTTCCCAGCATGCCTCCTAAGGGCAGGAGAGTAGAGACTTGAGTCCAGGAAGGCTTTTCTTATGAGAGAGAGCCAGTCACTTTGTAGGGTAATTGAGGCCGTCTTCAGTTGCTGGCTGGTGAGCGCACCATTCTTCCTACAGTGATGGTCCTATAAATGACAAAGTCTCCTTTTTAAATTCCTAGTCTGTGGTTTTACTCTTCACAATTTGGAAGAGTCTAGAGCAATGGTTCTCAACCTGTGGGTAGCGACCCCTTTGGGGGTAGAACGACCCTTTCACACGGGTCACCTAAGACCGTCGGAAAACACTTATTTCCGATGGTCTTAGGAACTGAGACATGGCTCCTCTATCCATCTCCAAGAGGGCCTGCCCACACACAACATGAGGAACTATATTAAAGGGTTGTGGCATTAAGAAGGTTGAGAACCACTGCTCTAGAGCAACCCAGATGCAGGAAGTAACAGAGCTAGACTTTAGCAGTGCTTCTCAAATTTGAACGTGTTTGTGAATCACCTGGGGATTTTGTTAAAAAGTACCCTGGCCAGGTGGCTTGGTTGGTTGGAGTGTCGTCCAGTACACCAAAAAGGTTGAGTGTTCAATTCCCAGTCAGGGCATGTGCTGGAGGCAATGGATCTATGTTTCTCTCACACTGATGTTCCTCTTTTTCTCTATCTCCCCCCCAACACTTCCTCTCTAAAAAATAAATAAATAGAAGCATACCCTTGGATGAGGATTAAAAAAAAGTGTATGCAGGAGGCAGCTGATGGATGTTTCTCATTGATGTTTCTCTCTCTCTCTCCCTCTCCCTTCCTCTCTCTCTGAAATCAATAAAAACATATATATATATATATTTTGTTGTTGTTGTTGATTTTTTTGAGAGAGAGAAGGGAGAGAGATAGAAACATCAATGTGAGAGAGAAAACATGTGCCCTGACTGGGAATTGAACCAGGACCTCTCGATCCATGGAACGTTCAATCCACTGAGCCATACCAGCCAGGCCAATAAAAACAAATTTTTAAAAATGTGCAGATAATGATTCAGTGAGTCCAGGATAGGGCCTGGGATTCTGCATTTCTAATGAGCTCCTAGGTGATGCCGATGTTGCTTGATGTCAAGACCACTCTTTGAGTAGCAAGGGACTACAGGATGTGAATCAGGTACATACACAGTAAGATCCCCTGATGTTTTATTTTTGACTCCCTCCCCTTTTCTTTTGCTATCTGGGGGCAATGAAGCAAGGCTCCATCATTTCAGTTGAGATTGTAAACAAAGCCTGCTGTGTGACTGTTTAACTTCTTACTCCTCCTAGTCCATCTGTCTTCCGTACTTCTTCCTGGGCATGAAGGTATTGATGCTCTTTAGTCAGAGTCAGGAAGAAACTCACCTACTTCTCAGTTCATGGTGACCCTCTGCAGTCCCTTCTTTATAAGCCAGAACTGGTGTACAGTTTTGTCCTCCACATTTTCCCGTGATGTCTTCTGAAGCCATGACATTGTGAGGCATCCCAGGGCCCACCTGGAGAGTTCCCATTCTGGCCAGATGGCTTTATAGTGTCTCTGTGAAGGTGAGGTTCCAAAGCTCTTACGGAACCTGGAAAAACAAGAGATGCTTGTGACCTTCAGGGAGAAGAGATGACCTCTCCATACCTAGCAGGGGTAGGGACACTGGTCCTTAGAGTAAAAATTCAGCAAACTTCAAGAAAGCTATCTGAATGTTTGTCTAGGGAAACATTACTTTATTAAGCTTTTAAATTTTCTAATTCCTGACTTGTAGCCCTAAGTCATCATAAAGGGGCTGAGTCCCTCCTCAGAGGGGCTCACCCACTTTTCTCTAGTGACACAATTTTAGGTCTTGTTACCGTGCAGGGACCCACTTCCCAACTGCCACTATAGGATATGGCTTCAGCCCTGCTCATCACTGTCTTTCTTCTATTTCTGGTCCACTGTGATGCTTACCTTATTTCTGAGTTCAGTTATTTTGTCTTGGAGTCTTTATTATTATTATTTTTTTATCCTCACCCAAGGACATTTTTCCATTTTTTGTTCAGATAGAGCGGGACGGAGAGAGAGAAACATCGATGTGAAAAGGACACATCGAGTGGCTGCCACCTGCACGACCAACCAGGGCCGGGGAGGTACGCACCCTGAACGGGAACTGAACCCGGGTCTCTCTGGACCTTAGGTCGATTCTCTAACCGCTGAGCCAAACCGGCCAGGGCTCTTCTTTTTAAATTTATTGTTGCTATGTATAATGGGAGAATTTCCTGTGATCTGACCAGAAGTCTGAGGTTCTGAGAGTGGGCATTCTATACTGCTATTTTAAAGTAGATGAATAAAGGGTCAGGGTGCTTTAAAAATCTGTCCTTGGATTAAGTAAGCCTTGGGAGTGATGTACTGGATTGCTTTTACTGTATTATGCCATTCACTTATAGCAAAGGCTAGAATAGGAAGCAAAGCAGAGAAAATCTTGGCTGTGTTTCAGAGTTGTGGAGGAAACTGTTCTGTTTGTGGTTCAGTTGCTTCACCTCTGGTGTCCCTATGAGTGAGTGATGTCCACAGTGTCCTGTCCGCAACATTTCTTTACATACTGCCTTTGAAAAAAGTGAGGCTCCATGAAGAAATCTCATCCATGTTAGAAATACCTATGCTTCTCTTACAGGACAAGAACACTGAATCATGACTGATGTTTCCTTTTTTCTACTGGTTTTAGGATGCTCACAAATTGTTGACTCAGGTGTAAAAGAACACCAGGCAGACTTTTTTTTTATCCTCACCGGAGGACATTTTCTCCATTTTTTTTGTTCAGATAGAGTGGGAGGGAGAGAGAGGAAGAGAGAGAGAAACATCGATGTGAAAGGGACACATCGAGTGGCTGCCACCCGCAGGACCAACCAGGGCCAGGGACAAACTGCAATTGAGGTATGTGCCCTTAGCAGGAACCGAACCCCGGTCTCTCTGGACTGCAAGCCGGCAAGCCGACGCTCTAACCGACGCTGAGCCAAACCGGCCAGGGCCTTTTTTTTTATTTTAATTTTTTAAAAAATCCTCATCTGAGGACATTTTTGCGTTTATCTTCAGATAGAGTGGGAGGGATAAAGGGAGGAAGAGAGAGAGAGAAACAACAATGTGAGAGAGAGACATCGACTGGTTGTCGCCCACACGATTCCATCCGGGGCTGGGGACAAACTGCAACCGAAGTAAGTGACCTTAGCGGAAACCGAACTCAGGACTCTCTGGTCTGTGGGCCAACGCTCCAACCACTGAGCCAAACTGGTCAGGGCCAGGCCGACTTTTTACTCTTGATCTGTCTTCAACTTGTTTTCTGCCCTTACTTTAAAATAGAGTCCAGAAAGAACATATCATTGCATTGTATGAATTTACATAAATCATCTTAGAATCCTTTTTGCAAGAAAGCCTCACCTTATTTTCCCAACTGGACTGGGTGGAGGCTGTTAGCAATGTGATTCGCGGTATAGTGCTAGTGAATTAATGTTATAAATATGCACAGCCCCTTCCTCAACCAGCTTCCCATCAGTCAAGGAAGGGAGGCCGGGCGCTGGCTTACACAGGACAGGCACCCCCGGGCCGACCCCATGGTACTCAATTTACTTCTCCCCTCCCAGCCATGGCCTCTCATTTCCCTCCTGCACAACATACCCGGCCCAGGCGGCCTTCCCCCCACCTCCCCCTGCCCCGCACCCCTTCTTCCTCCATCACCCCCAGCATCCCGACGCTCCCCGCCCTGGACCGTCTGATTTCTTCCTCCCGCACACCCCGCTTCCCCGGGCGGACTCCCCCCGCGGCTCCGCCTCTTCCGGCCGGCGGGAGGGGCGGGGCGGGCCGGGCGGTGAGTGCGAGCGTCCCAGGCCCGCGCCCGCTGCGGCCGGGCGGCCATGCTCATCACGCTGTGCTACTTGTACCTGTGGGCACGCTGGGGCCGCCGGCCGGCCGCGCTCGTGCGCACCACGGTGCAGCGGCTACGCGCCTCGCGCTGCTCCTTCGCCTTCTGCGGCGCGACTGCGCAGCCTCGGGACGCCCGCGTGTGCCTGAGCCGCGGCGGCCGCGTCTTCTGTGTCTGCGAGAGCCAGGTGGGCGGCACCGCGGGGCGGGGGGCGGGGCCTGTGGGGGCGGGGCGGCACCGGCGGGGGGCGCGGCCTCCGGGTCCCGGCCAGCCGGAAGCGCCCACCTGGACCCCACCACGCCCCCTCGCCAGCCCGGGGCTGCGCAAACCTGCAAAGTCCCTTCCTTGAGGTCTCGAGCAGAGGGCTGGGGTCCCGGGAGCGCGAGGCCCGGGGCCTCCTCGAGATGCCCACGGGAGCCCGGATAAGGGGACCAGAGGTCGAAAACTGACAGGCGCCTTCTAAAATAGGCGTGTACCTGTGTGACCAGGCGATGGCCATGGGCACTGAACCCCGGGAGCACTGCCCACTGAGTCTCCGGACAGCCTCTGCTCCTCTGTGGGCTGGAGTTTGGCTGAAGCTGAATTCAGAGAAACACAGGAAATTCTCATCTTTCCTTCAGATATCCCGGAGGTGACAAGAACTGCCTGTCCCCCTCTCTTTGTGTCAGTTGTGCCATTTACCAGCCAGGGCACCTCATCCGTTGTCTTTGCATATGTTTCATTTCGGTTTGCACAGTCTTTTTTTTTTTTTTTGGTCCAACACTTGTTTGGTGGCTACAAGTTCAGCCCGCACTGTGGTTTAATCTCTGCAAAACATCTGCGCTCTCTGTAAAAGGAACAACAGTTCTTTCCATTCAGCTCTTGGAAATGGACGTGATTCACAGTGCGGTTGTGGGCACATTTCCATTGATGTCACTGATACTGTTTTCATTAACTTTTCTTTTTATTTTCCATTTTTTGTTCAGGTAGAGTGGGAGGGAGAGAGAGGAACAGAGAGAGAGAGAGAAACATCGATGTGAAACGAACACATCGAGTGGCTGCCACCCGCACAACCGACCAGGGCCGGGGACAAACTGCAACCGAAGTACGTGCCCTTAGCGGGAACCGAACCCGGGTCTCTCAAGACCGCAGGTCGACGCTCTAACCGCTGAGCCAAACCGGCCAGGGCTGTTTTCATTAACTTTTCAAAGTGCTTTTGCTTTTCATAGGTTTCGTGCCCTTTCCTTCTGGGAAGCTGGATCATTTTTAGCATTAGAGTGATATTTTCTATGTGTGTAAAACCATAACATCCCGATGAGAATTGAAATCTTATCTCAGGTTTTGAATATTTTGTTGAGGTTATGCTTAGGTAGGGATTATACTGTGCTGCTAACAAATAAAAAATACCCTTCTTTGTTAGTCTACTATAACACCCACAATATATAAGTAACTGTGTCTCAGATCTCTCACAGAGAGTGCATATCTGGTACCACCTAGATGCAAGGGGTGAACTTCATTCATTACATAGGGTGGAGTTCTTGTCTTAGGATGGCTTCATTGTCTCAGGGAACCCTGATTGAGAAAGATGACAAAGTGGGGAAGTTGGAAGTGTGGATTTTTCGATTGTACTGGTTTCCAAACTGGGTCATTTACTTAAAAAAATAACCTTTAAAGTTGAGTGTGGAAATTTTGAATATTCAAAAATATTGAGAGGTAAATGTCTTTTTCTTGGAAGACAGTTTTATTTTATTTTAAAAAAATCTTTACCTAAGGATATGTTTATTGATTTTAGAGAGAGAGGAGGGGGGTGGGAGAAAAATCAATTGGTTGCCTCTGAGTCTGCTCCCTAACTGGAGATGGAACCTGTAATCTTTTGGTGTCCGGGATGACATTCCAACCAACTGAGTCACCTGGCTAGGATGAGTTTTACTTTTGAACATCTCCATGACTTGATTGGTTTTCTGCTGACTTCAGTAACTATAATGCTTTTCATCCTTTGCCCACTGCTCCAGCCAAACTCGCCTTGGGCTTTCAAGGGATTCTGTAACTTTCTGTGACTCAGACTCTTTACACAGTTTACTTTACCCCAGAGCTCTGCTCAGATATCACTGTCTCAACCACTCAGACTAGATGGGACTTGCCTGCTCTGTGCCCTCAGAGTTTAAACCACAGTTAATTTTTCCAGTTTTGTTTTGTTTTTCTACCTAGGGTCTGGATCTGTTTAATGTAGCTATTTGACCTGTAATAACTGCTTAGTAGTAGTTCAATGAATGAAGGAGTGTTTAGTGGTTGTTGTGTTTAAGCTTGATGTTTAAGACCTATAGCTAGAAAGCTTGACAATTTATTTATGATTAGCTACTGTTATTTTACCATTTAAAATATTCTGGGCTGTTGATTTGGTTCAGTTGATGTCTTATTGTCAGTCTGCCAGGACTGTAATAACTTTACAGAACTGAATCTTATGCCTTGTTGTCTTTATATTTTATATATTTAAAATCAGATGCATACATACAGAATGTGTATAATTGAAGGTCCCACAATAATTGATAAGTATAACCAAAGATAGTTTATACAAACTGGACATTTTAAGGATTTTGTTTAAGGTACACATTTTAGAGTAAAATGGACAGCCTGCTTTTAATTCTTTTTTTTTAAGTGCTCACCAGAGGATATGTTTTTATTGATTTTAGAGAGAGAGGAAGGAAAAGAGAAAGAGAGAAACACTGATGTGAGAGAGAAACATTGATTGGTTGCCTCCTATATGGCACCCTAACTGGGGATTGAACCTGCAACCTGGGTATGTGCCCTGATGGGTAACCCACAACCCACAACCTTTCTGCGTATGGGATGGTACTCCACACAACTGAGCCACACTGGCCAGGGCTTGTTTTTAATTCTTATATTGATAATTATATTTACTCACATAAAGGAGTTTTTTTTCCCCTCCAAATTTTCATTAATTAGTTCAACAGATAATAAGCATGTACTGTGTGCCAGGTTACTAGGCCTGGTAGAAATATTTATTTATTTATTTGTTTTAAAATTTATTTTAGAGAGAGAAACATCGATTTGTTGTTTCACTTATTTGTGCATTCATTGGTTGATTCTTGTTTGCCCTAATGGGGGATTGAACCCAAAACCTTGGTGTATTGGGATGACGCTCTAACCGTGGAGCTACACGGCCAGGGCATGGGAACACATTTTGAGCTTTCTAGGAAGGGCAGATTGAACTGATTCACAAGTCAGGAGCCTGACCCAAATGCCTTAGACTTCAGCTTTTTCTGCACTGGGTTTGTCTTGTATTTAGTGGGTTAATTGAAATTGATTTGCTGTCTTTTTAGAGAGACTTCAGGAAGGAGAGCAGAGATTAGTGGATTTATCCAGTCTCCTAACCAATCTTGAAGCTATAATGGCTGGAGGAAATTGAAGAACAGCTCTTAGGCTTCTGTCCTCAGAAGGATGCACTTCTGAGCCTCATCTTTACGTGTTCCTCCAAGTTATCATTTGGAAAGCTCCTACATGCTCTAAACAGTAAGGAATGGCAGGAATAAGCCCAGAGTCAGAATCAACAACAAATGTCTAGCGATGTTAAAGCTGTCATGAATTCTAGAGGGGATTTTGTAGCTATTTGAATAGCCACAGGTCAATAAGAAACGGAAGGTGAGTGTGGTTTGTACGAGGGTACCAGATAGCCTTCTTTAGATCCCACCAGTAATTAGGGAGGAGGGGATGTCCCAGGTGTTGAGGTAAGTGGCAGTTGTGGTTTGAAGTGACCTTAAATCCTGTGTGTGTGTTTTCTTTCTTCTATCCAGTCCATTGATGACTTGAACAAATGGGCCCTCGTTCTTGTTTCTCCTCTTATACTTGAAGCCGAACATATAGCATTTGTGACAGAGAGCATTTGGGTGCAAGGGGAGAATTTGCAGAGACCGTCTTCCTCTTCAGAAACTGTGAGTAACGTGTTCTTCACTTGTGTATTGTAAGGAAACTGTCTTAATGAAAACTAAATTTGATTTTTTTTTTTTTTTATCCTCACCCGAGGACATTTTTCCATATTTTGTTCAGATAGAGTGGGAGGTAGAGAGAGAGAGAAACATCGACGTGAAGGGACACATCGAGTGGCTGCCACCCGCACGACCAGCCAGGGCCGGGGACAAACTGCAACCGAGGTACGTGCCCTTAGCGGGAACCGAACCCGGGTCTCTCTGGACCGCAGGCCGACGCTCTAACCGCTGAGCCAAACCGGCCAGGGCTAAATTTGATTTTTTAATGAGTGCTTTTTCTTGGCCTTTGTGACTCCCTTTCTTTTTGGATATTTTGGGTTAATTTAAAATATATTAGTGAAATTACTTTGACCTTTTTTTTTTTTTTTTTTTTTTTACTTTTACTTTTACTTTTACTTAAAAAAAATTCCTTACCCGAGGATATTTTTTCTTTTATCATCAGATAGAGTGGGAAGAGGGAAAGAGAGAGACAGAGAAAAACATCTACGCGATAGAGCCTCATCGACTGGTTGCCTCCCATATGACCCAGCCAGGGCCAGGGATGAGCCAGGCGGGGGATGAACCAGGGCTGGGGAATGAACCGCAACTGAGGTACATGCCCTTGACAGGAATCGAACCTGTGACTCATTGGTCTGCAGGTCGACTCTCTAACCGCTAGGCCAAACTGGCCAGGGCTACTTTTACTTTTTTAATGTGGCTGCTAGAAAATGGAAAACTGCCTGTGATGATCGGGCAGCACTGCTCCAGTCTCCCAGGTCATTTAGTCCACCCTTATGCTAAGCAAAACCTTCAAGGCTGAAAGTTGTCCTGAAAGAAGGGCTTTATTGGGCCATATGCTACCAGAAAAAGGACCAGGTCCCGGGACAGACAGTCTAAACCCCCAGCATCTGGGCTAGATGGACAAGACCAACATGCTCACTGTTCTGGAGCTGACAGGGCTCTTGTATCTAATGGGTTTGGGGAAAAAAGATGCAAGTTGTTTTGAAAGAGTTTATGTTAGCCATAAATAAGGGGGGAGGGGAGAAGTGAAGGGGGAGGGAAAAGTGAAGGGGGAGGGAGAAGTGAAGGGGGCAGTTCTAGGATAGGTATTTCCCACTCCTGGATTGCTTGTGGACAGGAGTCCAGAAAATCCATGCATAATGTCAGGCAAGATGTCATGGTGTCTGGTGGTTGGCCTGTTTTTTTTTTTTTTTGATAGCTACCTGGGAGTTGATTAAAAGTTTTTGTTTTTTTTTTAAATTTTTATTGAATTTATTGGGATTGACACTGGTTAATAAAATTATATAGGTTTCAGGTGTACAGTTCTATAATACATTATCTGTATATTGTATTATGTGTTCACCACCTAAAGTCACATCTCCTTCCATCACCATTTATCCCCCTTTACCTCCTTCTTCTTCCCCCCACCCCTCTTTCCCTCTGGTAACCACCATACGGTTTCCTGCGTCTGTGAGGTTTTTTTTCTTAATTCTTTCATGTTTTTCACCCAGTCCCACAAACTCCCTCCCCTCTGACAGCTGTCAGTTCATTCTCTGTATCTATGAGTCTGTTTCTATTTTGTTTGTTAGTTTTTTTTGTTCATTACATTCCACATATAAGTAAAATCATATGGTACTTGTCTTTCTCTGACTGGCTTATTTCACTCAGCATAATACCCTCCATGCTGTTGCACAGGGTAAGATTTCCTTCCTTTTATAACCCACTAGTATTCCATTGTGTGAATGTACCACAGCTTTTAAAAAAAATTCCTACCTGAGGATATTCCTGCATTTCTCCTCAAATAGAGTGTAAGGGGGAGGGGAAGGGGGAGGGAGAGGGAGAAACATTGATGTGAGAGAGACACATCGATCGGCTGCCTCCTACAGGAACTGCAACCAAGGCACAGGTCCTTGATTGGAATCGAACCTGTGACTCTCTGGTCCTCAGGCAACTGCTGAGCCAAACTGGTCAAGGCGTACCACAGCTTTTTTATCCAGTCATCTACTGGTGGGCACTTGGGCTGCTTTCACCCCTGTCACTACCGTGGTAGTCAACCTCATCCACATTCCAGCCCTCAGAATGGGGGACAGCGAAGGTGGGTGACAGCCAGCTTCCTCTTTAAAACCGAGATCCAGAAGTTTGAGATCTCACTTCTCCTCGCATCATTTCATCTGCAGGGGACCCTGAGAAATACATTCTGGAGCCGGACAGCCATGGGTTCAGAGAAAACCTGGAGTTGTGTTACTATGAGGGAGAAGGAAAGACCAGATACTGAGAGATAACTAGTGTCTCTGCCACAGTTGGCCCATTTAATTTACTTTCTAAGGAAGATTTCATTAAGATCTCCATTAATGGTAGTTGCTTGATTCTTTTTTGTTTTGTTTTTTTTAAATTCTTACCTGAGGATATGTTTATTGATTTTTAGCAGGAGAGGGAGAGAGAGAGAGAGAAATATTGATGTGAGAGAGAAACATAGATTGTTTGGTTGCCTCCCTCCCATACATGCCATGACCAGGGGTCAAACCTGCAACCTTTTTGGTGTATAGGACTGCACTTCAACTGATTGGGCTGATTGACCAGGGTGCTTAATTATTAATTTTCCAGGGATTGAAGGATGCCTACTCACCAAGGGTGCTATCCAGTTAACGCGTTTTGCCTATGACCCAGGGTTCGGTGGGCCTTGCAGCCAGGACGTGGAGATGTCTAGGGCTGGTTTTCTGACCATCCTGGCTATTACACCAAGGTCTGTTTTATAAGTGAGCTTCAGAACCTGACAAAGAGTTGACATTGTCATAGCTCCCTGTCTTCTCACAAAGTGTGCATTCCTATTCTGGTTGATTGCTTGATGGGATTTTGCCTTTTGGAGGACCATTATGAATCTGTGCATGTATTTTTCACCTACCTCTAAAGTCATTTGAATTTTACAGGATCCTAAAGATATTCAATAGAAAATATCTTACCTAAGAGAGACTTTGGAACTTGATGAGATCTTGCATTCTTTCACAGTTTTAGGAATAAGCAACTCTTACAGATGATATTATTTTGAATTTGGGATATCTCAGATGGCCTTCGCTTGTGCCTTTTGATCCTGGGCATTCTTCGTGGATGGGCGTTAGGTTGATGGAGCAGACACATCACTGCCTGCTTTAATCAATGCAGCCTCCAGCCAGTTGCTTATGGAAGGAATTTCTGCACACTGCTTCTATGAAGAAATCGAATGGTTTAGGGGGCCCAGGGCTTCCTTAGCTTTGATCTTTGGGAGTCAGCCTATTGCTTGACTTCTCCTTTCTTCTTCTACCCCTTTGTTTCCATCTCCAAGTGCAAATTGGAAGGGCTGTTTGCTTTTAGGCCCAGGAAGGCAAACATCCCTGGGCCCTGGAGGAGGTGGGTGACAGTGCAGCTCTGCTTTGATCAGAGCACCCAGCGCTGCCGCCGAGTTCGCATGGTCTGTGGCTCCTGAACCGTGTTCCTAAGGAAAGGAAATGCACTTTGGTGAGGAAACGCTGGCCCTGGCCGAGTTGGGAAACTTGATCAGGGACGGGTATTGTTCTCTCTCTGCTTCCTGTCCTTCCCTGGCTTTGTCTATGTCCTGCTTCTCTGCTCCTTAGAAGTGTGTGAGAGTTAATGATCTGGCTCCTTTTTACACTAAGTGCTGACTTTGGGGCGTAGCTCTAGCAGGGTGTTAAGTCAACGTTTGAACACCTAAGTGCTGGGCTGGCTGTCCATTGGCTGAGCATTTCTCCTCTTTGATGGCCAGCGATAGCGCTGAGAACAAAGATGCTCCTGGCTTCCTGCAGGAGGTTGCACTATTCCTTTTCATGCTTCCCATTCACCCTCATCTGAAAAGTCAGCACTTGCCAAGGTGAGAGTTTATCTTCTCATCCTCCTGAGCTGACATCTGTCCTCCATTCTCAAAGCTGGATATCAACTAGATATTTGTCTGAATTGTAAGCTTCAGCTCTCATTTGATCAAAGATGTCGTCTTTGAAATGCAGTCTGACTGAAACTTCGGGTCAGCTGGACCCTTCAGGAGAATCCTCGTCACCCTGGGGCTGTGTCTGGGAGGAGGTGGGAGGAGCAGGTGAGAATGGCTACAAGTGGAGTTAAAAGGAAATGCCAAGGCTTCTCTTCCTCTATACATTCTAGACCAATGAATGGTTTCAACATTTTGACCATAAAGACTTGCTTTTATTATTTTCCCCTCTAAGTGTTATCAACTTTTAAAGTTATTGTTTCTCTGCCCTGGCTGGTGTGGCTCAGTGGTTGGAGCCTTGGCCTGCAAACCCAAAGGGTTCAGGGTTTGATTCCTGGTCAAGGGTACGTACCTGGGTTGCAGGTTCGATCCTCAGCCCTGGTTGGTGGGGTGTGTGGGGGAGGCAACGGATCAATGTGTCTCTCTCACATAGATGTTTCTCTCTGCCTCTCTTTCCCTCCCTTCCAGTCTTTCTTAAAAAAAAAAAAATCAATGGAAAAAATATCCTCCAGTAAGGATTAACAACAACAAAAAAATTTTTTTGTTTCAATTGAATTCTGTCTGAGAGAGAAATTAAATACTAAGAAATAAGATTTTGTGGGGTAAGGTTGAGCCTTGGAGGGCAAAACCATTGTGTAACTAGGATTTTTTCACACCCCATTCCCCTAACCAATTTTTGCCCACTTGGGGGTGTTAATGGTCTCCGCTGAGATGTGCTCTGAGGACTCCACGTTTTGGAGTAAGAGCGCCCCCTTGTGGGCCAGGTGCTGTATGTGTTACCCCATTTAGTTCTTTCAGCGTCCTTCCCAGGAGGTGCTCTTCATCAACACCTTACAGACAGGAAACCAAAGCACAGAGAAGTTGAATGACTTGCTTGGGTCACACAGCTATTAGCCAAAGGAGCGGGGATTCAACTTTGGGAAATAAGACTCTGGAGTCCTCTTCCTACCCAGGCTATCCTGGAGCAGGTTGTTTTTTATAGGGTTTGGGGAATGGCCCTTTCCCCCTTTAGTTTCTTGAAAAGCAGTTGCGAGGTCACCTTGGAAGGAGAGGGTTATATTTAGTGCTTTGGAAATCTGCTGTTTGGTAGAAATAAGCCTTCATGCCAGAACAACTTTGATGGTAGTAATGTAGCCGTGGGGACCTGAAGGGAAAAATGCAGAACCTGGTTATTTTAAAGAAGAGAAATCGCAACCTCTCTTTTTCCTCCACCTCCCTCACCCACTTTTTCTTAGATTGTAAAGTGGTCAGACTGTTGTTTGCCGTTAGCTTGCAGACCTGGGGACCCTTATCAATTAATCGCCAAAGCAAGTGTGGACGACTTCAGCAAGCTGGGGGTGGCGTTCATGGAAGATAGACTCCAGATGGCTAATGGGCTGATACCCCAGAAGATTGTTTGTAAGTAACTTTAGATGTTTTCATTATAGCAGATGTCATAGGTTATCAGCTTAAGGACTGTTGAACACTCCTGTTTGGTATGACTTAAAGGAATGCTTATTTTCAGTTTAATTCAGTCAACAGGTTAGATTTCCACATGTCAGTTTTTCTTGAGGTACTTACCCCAGAGTTTATCATTAATATTTTTAAAATTCTTAAACAAGGATATCCCATAATTGCATTGTCTGTGAGCTAGCATTCACATTCAGAACCCATATAATATTTATTTCTCCCAATCTGATTCAGTGTGACTAGTTTCTTGACTATGGTTTGATTGGATGGAAAGCATAGCCAGTGTTACCATGAAGTTCTAAATCTTAGCAGTTTTTTACCTGAAATATACATACTGCAATGTTTTGGGACACATTTCTGTTTAGGACATGCACAAAGTATTTGTCCTTAATTAGGCTTCAGAGCTGGCTTTCTGTGTCTGTGAATGTCTTCATTTGTATCTTGAGCAAATGAGTGTCACTTACCAGCTTGGAAATTTGTGTAAATCACTTCATTTCCCCATTTTTCATGTGCGTGTGCCTAATACCGTGTCAGATGTGTAGCAGGTGCTCAATGGATGGTTTTTTTTTAATCCTCACCTGAGGACATTTTTTTCATTTTTTGTTCAGATAGAGTAGGAGGGGCAGAGAGGAAGTGAGAGAGAGAAACATCGACGTGAAAGGGACACATCAAGTGGCTGCCACCACACAACCCAACCAGGGCCGGAGACAAACTGCAACCGAGATACGTGCCCTTGGCGGGAACCGAACCCGGGTCTCTCTGGACCGCAGGCCGATGCTCTAACCGCTGAGCCAAACCAGCCAGGGCAATGGATGGTTTTTGAATCAATGATTGTAAATTATATTCCAGTCCTGAGAGCAGATGCTGGAAAGACCCTTCTCTTGGGCGGAGCCTATAAGGTGTCCTGGGAGTGCCATTTTCCTGGGACTTGGATAGACTCTAGATGAGTGCCTTTCTTTTTTTGTAGTTTCATCATCCTATAGGAGATTGACACCCAAGAAATCGAATCTAGAAGTAAGTAGGCAAAATTACCTCTCTGAATATCACTTTCTTCACTAGTCTCTGAAGGAATCTGAGGATATCCAATTCGTATGGGGAAGGTGTTATGGAGACTCGGATTTCACTCGGGATCATCAGGGGCTCCTTCCTAGCAGGTGGGAGCAATTACATGGTTCCAAAGGATGCCACAGAGTTGGGGTGGGGATGCGGTGGGAGCCATGCAGGCGGCTGCCCGAGAACGTGAGGCAGGGAATGCAGAGCGCGCCATGAGGTTTTGAACTGAGCTGCAGGACAAACCAGAAGCGTTGATTGTCTTTTCTGCTCATGCTTAGCAGTGCACCTGCAGGACTCCGCTCTGAAGGAACTTAAGGACCAGGCCACAAACAAGCCAGCCCACATCCTGCAGCCGAGCCCCAGATCTGCTATGGAGGGTGAGCCTGACACAGGCATTATGGAGCATGTTGGTAAAGATGACCCAAAGGTTCTTGGTTCAGAACCCACTCAAGGGCAAGGCGGTGCCTCTGGGAGTGAGCCTGCTGGGGAGAGCGACAGAGGAGAGGGCTCCGCCGACCTCTGTCACCTGCATCTGTCTAGTTGCCACGAGTGTTTGGAGCTGGAGAACAGCACCATTGAATCCATCAGATTTGCATCTGCAGAGGACATTCCAGACCTTCCCTATGACCCCAGTGGCAATGTGGAGGGTGTTGCTGATGCTGTCGGCCCTGAGAGAGAAGGAAGGAGAACCAACGTCACAGGGAAGGCACCCAACATCCTCCTCTATGTGGGCTCCGACTCCCAGGAAGCCCTGGACAGGTTCCAGCAGGTCCGGTCCGTTCTGGCTGACTGCGTGGACCCCGACAGTTACACTCTCTACCACCTGTCGGGGGAGAGTGCGCTCAGAGACCCGTGGTCAGACAACTGTGTGTTGTTGGTCATTGCCACCAGCGAGTCTCTTTCCAAAGACCTGTACCAGAAGTTCATGGCCTACCTTTCTCAGGGAGGGAAAGTGTTGGGCCTGTCTTCCTCCTTCACGGTTGCTGGCTTCCAGGTGACCAGCAAGGGCGCACTGCAGGAGACAGTCCAGAACTTGGTTTTCTCCAAGGCTGACCAGAGCCAGGTGAAGCTCAGCGTCCTGAGCAGTGGCTGCATTTACGAGGAGGACCCCGGGGAGCAGCTCAGCCTGGGCAAGCTCCAGGGCCACCTGGAAAATGAGGACAAGGACAGGCTGATTGTGCAAGTGCCTTTTGGAGCACATGGAGGAGAGGCTGTTCTTTGCCAGGTAGGACAGCAGGTGTACCTGTAATGATCTTTGGATATCTCTGATGGGAATATGCCCGTATGACTGTGTATTGAAAGGCTTGAGTCTGCACAGTGGGGCACCTTTGACTTACGGCTGGGAGTTTCTGCTGGTGTGAGTAGATGGTTTAGGTCAGGGCTTGTCTGTTGCGTGACTATCTTGTTTAACTGAAATACTCATGATAGAGGAATGTGACATACGGTGTTATGGCTAATTTAAGATTGCTGGTTAACCAAGGATGAGTCAGAAAATTCTTTCTTGTTTTGTTCTGTACTGGTAATAATCTTTCTAAAATATATTAGTCCAGCTGGGCCAGTGTGGCTCAGTGGTTGAGCATCGACCCATGCACCAAGAGGTCACTGGATCAATTCCCAGTCAGGGCACATGCCCAGGTTCTGGGCCAAATCCCCAGTGGGGGGCATGCAGGAGGTGGCCAGTCAATGTTCTTTCTCATTGATGTTTTTATCTCTCTCTCCCTCTCCCTTCCTTTCTCTCTCTAAAATTAATAAAAGAAAAAAAAAAAATTAAAATACATTAGTTCACTCCCCTGACTCAAAGAACATTCTGGTTAATATAATCAAACCTTTATTTAAAGTGGTGAGTTGAAGGCCTTGGCGTAGTGAGTCCAAGTGTTAGTAGCCAGCACATTACAATCTCATAGTTGATGTCAGGGGATCTGTGATTGCTCCCCATCTTCAAATCCTCAGTTCCTTTCTTATGATTTGTCACTCTTAAAATCTGAGTGCTGAGAAAAATGTCAAATAAGAGAATATTGAAGTGATTTAGATTTAGGGCATATTAATACATAGGTAAGAAAAAAATGGCAAAGGAAACAAAAGGAAAACGTACTTCCTTCCCACCCTAGGAGGTGCTTTAACTCACCTGAAGGGTTTGTTTTCCCCTACCCTTTTCCTTTTAGGGTTTAGTTTGTTTAAGCAAATGGTAGCAAGATAGACTATTTCAGAATTCCTGATCACTTACTGAAAATCTTATAATGCCTTCGGGCAAAAGTTTTTGTTTTAGTTAGATGAACTCTGTCCTTAAGGATTTGATGAACTAAAGAGATATAGATATTTTGCCCACAATAGTTTCCAGGATGAGTGTAAAAGATTTTGGTTCATTATAGGAATCTTTTTTTTTTAAATCCTCACCCGAGGATATTTTTCTATTTATCTTCAGATAGAGTGGGAGAGTAGAAGAGAGGGAGAGAGAGAGAGAAACATCCATGTAGAGAGACACATCGACTGGCTGCCTCCTGCATGACCCCAACCAGAGCCGGGATGAACCGCAACCGAGGTACGTGCCCTTGACTGGAATCGAACCTGAGAATCGTTGGTCTGAGGGCCGATGCTCTAACCACTGAAAAAACTGGCCAGGGCCATTATAGGAATCTTTTTATTGAATTAGAGAACTATTTCCTTTTTTTTGTTGTTATTTGTTTTAATTTTGTATGCTGTCTCTCTTTCCAGCCCTCCTAAGTCTCTCTGGTTTTCTGAGCAAACATTTTTCAAGGGTATAGGTTTGTTTCTTTCCCATTTTCCCCACTCATTTGTTTCTAAGATAATATTCAGCCAAAGATGCATATAAATAAGGAATCTGGACATCAGTACAAATGAACATGGACAACAAATCAGGTTTTCTCGAGGTTGCAAGCCACATGAATTTGTTTTTGGAGGCCTAATACATGTTTCTCTTATCTTTTTCTCTGCAAATATGGTAACTATAGTAACTGTGCATTCTCAGAAAATCCACTTTAAAACCCGACTTCCTAGGGCTGTATTTCAGTTTTGAATAGCGAATTTTACCACCCCGGTGCACAGACTTGTACTAGAAAATTGATTCGGCACTCTTGCGATCTGTTTCCCCGAGTTACACAGCAAGTCTGCTTGCTGCACCATTTAAATTGACCCCGTTACTATCATAAAATTTGATCATGCATGCATTGCTCTAGAAAAAAAAGGCAATATGATGCAGCTTCAAAAATCAGATTCAGAGGATTAGAGTGTCATTTTTTATTTTAAATGACTTCCAGTCTGTGTCAGGGTCACTGTTTTCTCCTTAGGCTTCTGTCACGACGATACCTCGCAGCCGAGATCAACTAATAAATATCATCACAGGCTGGTTAGTTTCCTCTTTCCCTGTTCAATTTCATAGCCTTCATCTTTGCAATAAATCGAGTAATGATGTAACCCAGTAAGAGGAGCGAAGTACTTCAAGGGCAAACCACAGCTGCACAGTAGGTGGTGGTCTGGCGGCCAAGGAGCTGCACCGGGATGCTGTTGCCATCCATCAGCACAAAGGAAAAGGGGTGCTGCCGCACTGGCTGTGTGAGCAGGTTTGCAGAGAGAATTTAAGGCTGTGGATTAAGGCTGACACTAGATTATCAAAGGGGCCAGGAGTTTGGCATGAAATCCAGACAGAATCTTTAAAGTGGATTTACAAACACACACACACACACACACACACACACACACACAGGGTTGGCAGAAGTAGGTTTACAGTTGTGAGTACACGAAACATTTTATTCATGTATTACTTATTATTGTGTTATTTTCCATAAAAACTACTGTAAACCTACTTTTGCCCCATCCTGTATATTTTAGATATATATTTTTTATTTTTTTTAGGGAGAGAGAGGGGAAGAGAGAGAGAGAAACATCACTGTGAGAGAGACACATCGACTGGCTGCCATCCATACGACCCCAACCGGAGCGGGGACAAACTGCAACTGAGGTACATGCCCTTAGCGGGAACCGAACCTGGGACTCTCTGGTCCGCAGGCTGACACTCTAACCGCTGAGCCAAACCAGCCAGGGCTAGATATAGATTTTTAATTGGATGTTAATTTTATTAATTTAAGTTTATTTTTTTAATTTTTAATTTTTTTATTATTATTTTTTTTATCCTCACCTGAGGACATTTTTGCATTTATCTTCAGATAGAGCGGGAGGAAGAGAGGAAGGAAGAGAGAGAGAGAAACATCGATGTCAGAGAGACACACTGACTGGCTGCCACCCACACGACCCCAACCAGGGCTGGGGACAAACTGCAACTGAGGCACGTGCCCTTAGCGGGAACCGAACCCGGGTCTCTCGAGTGCACAGGCCGACGCTCCAACCGCTGAGGTTAAACTGGCCAGGGCAAGTTATTTTATTTTATTTTTTTAATATATATTTTTTTATCCTCATCTGAGGACATTTTTTTTTTTTGAGTTTTTGTGGATTATTTTATTTTGCAACAAACCTTTGAGATAGGTGCTATAATTTCATGCCTATCACACAAACAAGAAAAGTGAACCCTGGTAAATGATTAATAGATACTGAAATAGAATACAGTTTTTAAAATGAAGTTGTGTGTATAAAGTTGTCATAAAAGTAAGTACACTAATCAAAAGCTTTACAACATTAACAGCAAATCCAAATGCGAAGATATTCTTCTGAATTCCATGTTTCATCGAGCGTCAGAAACCACCAATCTTTTCGTCCTTTTCTTGTACATTATTCTGTACCCACATTCTCTGCATCTGATTGGATCCCTGGATTTTATTTCACTTTCTGTGTGACATTCTCCACAGATATATATTATTGGCTACTGCTCTGGGGGTTGGACGTCCGCCTGGGTGTCCATTGTTAGACCGGAGCACCGACAAACTCCTCGCTCTGCGATTCCAAATGCACTTGAGGACATTTTTGCATTTATCTTCAGATAGAGCGGGAGGAACAGAGAGAGAGAAACATCGATGTGAGGGAGACACATTGGCTGATTGTCACCCACACGACCCCAACCGGGGCTGGGGACAAACTGCAACCCAGGTACGTGCCCTTAGCTGGAACCGGACCCGGGGCTCTCTGGTCCGCGGGCCGACGCTCTAACTGCTGAGCTAAACCAGCCAGGGCTTAATTTAAGTTTTTACATTTTTAAATTACAGTTGATATATAATATTATATTAGTTTCAGGTGTACAACATAGTGATTAGACATTTATATAATTTATGAAGTGATCACCCCATACAAAATACATTTTTTTCTTATTAACCTAGCACATGGCAGAAGTGGTTCTGCTTTCATGGCAGAGTGTCTTAGCCACGACACTGTGGACATTTGCCATGTCCCTTGTTGGGGGTCATCCTGTGCCTTGAAGTTGGATTCCTTAAAGGATTTTCCTCTCCTGCCTGCTGCTCCCCCTCTGGGCTGTTTAGAGGACAAAGTCACCAGCTGCTGCTGGCCACCTGGCTCAGCTGGCGGTGAAGCAGGGACCCGCCGTTGTAGGGGCTGTGTGGACACCGCTCTACCAACCTTGTCAGGTTGGCCTCCACCTGCAACAATGGTACCGTTTGGACAGTATCTGTGGACAGTGTTTCTGGCTTGATGAATGCTTGGGTGGGAATTGAGAGAATTTAAGTTGCCCGAAGGCTGACAACAGGCTTTTATTTTCATGATGCTTCTGTACTCTCAGATCGGGAGCTCTGCACCAAACAGAAACCCATAGCTGACCCCCGGCCAGAGCAAAACAAACAAAGCAGGCTGGATCAGGTTGCTCTCCTGGGGACTCAGTGTTCTGGCACTCTGCAAGCGGCTCTAACGCCCAGCTAGAATCTGATCTCCAGGGAGCTACAAATTCGAGTACTTCCTCCATAGCCAGACAGAGACCTTTCACTGATAGGTGGTGCTGTTTCCATTTTAACTGCACAGCAAAGCCTGAACTAAATGCCTCAAGTTCCTAATCTTAAAGCTCAGTCAGGTGAGGGAGGGAGGTGGGGCAGGCCTTTTGGGGTTCCCCCAAACCCACTCATCTGCTTGAATGCCTGCAAACATGCTTAAATGGGAACTAAGACTACTATCCTCCCTGGGTTGCTTCCCAGTAGTTATGACTAATAGGCAGAGTGGAGTTTCAAGCCTGACCCATTGTGCTTCCCTGAGTTCAGTAGTGACTTTATGTGTGTTCTCAGCACAACTGTATTTCTTTGTTTCTTTTTCTTTTCTTTATTGATTTTAGAGAAAGAGGGAGGGAGAGGGAGAGAGATAGAAACATCGTTGAGAGAGAACATCGATTGGCCGCCTCCTGCATGCCCCCCACTGGGGTTGGGCCCACAACATGGGCATGTACCATGACCAGTGACCTCTTGGTGCATGGGGTCGACGCTCAACCACTGAACCACACCAGCTGGGCAGCACAACCATATTTACTAAGTGTTTTGTCTTATAAGCAAGTTAAGTGACTTCCCCAAGGTCCAAGACAGGTTAAAAGACAGATAAAAGTTGGGACCTGGAAAGAGTTTGATTACTCTCCTGGGTTGTTCTTACCATGGCTTCTCAGCCTGACAGCCATGATTTTAATAGGTACTTCTGAATCTTTTTTTTTTTGAAGGTGGAAGAAAATGCTTCTTCTTATTTATTTAATTAATTAATTAATTAATTAATTATTGTTACAGATGTTTCTCCTTTTCCCCCCACTGATCCCCCCTCCCCAACCCTCCCCGTCCTGTCCCCAGCTTTGTTGTCCATGTCCATTGTTCATGCACACATGGGTATAAGTTCTGTGGTTTATCTCTCCCCCATCATCCCCTCTTCTGGCGATTGTCAGTCTGTACCCCACTTCCACGTCTCTTCTGAGCCTTTTTATTGCTTTGCATTACTTTCTAAATATTCAGGTTCAAAATTTATATCATGTTGATAATTAGAAGGATTCATGTTCAAGTTTTCAGAGACACTGGTACAGACACTGTTTTTGTTAATGTCTCCAAGTGCCGCCCATTTATGAAGTGGTGTTTCCCCTCAGGTGCACTTAGAACTACCTCCCAGCTCTTCAGCAGTGCAGACTGAAGAAGATTTTAATCTGCTCAAATGTAGCAACATTAGAAGATATGAAGTCCTTAAGGAGATCCTGACTACCCTCGGCCTAAGCTGTGGCATGAACCAAGTTCCTGCCTTAACACCTCTTCACCTGCTGTTGGCGGCAGAGGTGAGTGTGCTCGGCTGGGAAGGCACCGAGGTGCCCTTCCTCAAAGCGGGCACCCTTTTCCTGAATCGTCCATGGCAGTGGGCTTCGACTTTGATTTCTATTTTGACTTCAGAACAATCTTAAGTATAACTAATATATTTGGCGTTTGCGTGAAAGACAGGGAGAGAAGACTGTTAGAGTTTAGAAGGTGTTAAGTCTTAAGGTTCTGGCCCTTCTCACTTTAAAGGGAAAAGGGTCGCTGTTTTATGTGCCAAGAATGTATTTAGAAACCACAGCTTATGCACTTGGGATTAAAAACTTTTGTTTTGATTTGGACTGTTCTCAGAGAATCTCTGGAAGAGAAAATCCTGTTTTCTTTTCTTTTTGTGCTGATGCCTGCCATCTTGTGGCCAAGGGATCTCTAGGAGTATTTGACGATGATGAAATAACGTATGTGAAAGATAGTACAATTATTGATATTAATATTAGATTGTTGGAGGGTTAGTAAGTTACAAGTGCCTAATGTTTCTAACAAGTGCCTGATGCTATAGGTAATGATTTTAATTTTTAAAATTAATAATAAAGCAATGGGAACATTTTTTTTCCGTCTAAGAAACCTTTTTTTTTTTATCCTCACCCGAGGACATTTTTGCATTTATCTTCAGATAGAGCGGGAGGGAGGAATGGAGGAAGAGAGAGAGAGGGAGAGAAACATCTATGTGAGAGAGACACATCGAGTGGTTGCCACCCGTACAACCCCAACCAGGGCCGGGGACAAACTGCAATCGAGGTATATGCCCTTAGCGGGAACCGAACCTGGGACTCTGGTCCATGGGCCGATGCGCTAACCGCTGAGCAAAACTGGCCGGGGCTAAGACACATTCTTTTATTGCATTTTCATTACACAGTTGGTTAGTTTGTACTCTTTTTAATGGGTGCTCTTGAGAATTAATGGTATGACTTTTGTTTGCACCTGCATCTCAGGAAATCAAAGGTCCACGTCATTTATCTATTTAATGCACTCCATTAATAGAAGGAAAAGCACCACCTCTATCCATGTGGTGATTTATAAAAAAGTATCAAAATAAAGCTGGTCCTCAGAGCTTCAGCTCTTGTAGATGGCCCACTTCCAGACCTCCACCCTGGAGGTACGGGGCAGAGCATGTGGGTAAGGGATGTAACTCTCACTCTCATAGACCTTCTCCCTCCCTCCTGAGCATGAAGGGCTGAGGCTGGACAAATCAGGGAGGAATACAGATCCAGGCTTGCCCTTGACCGTGCTCCCTGACCTTTCCTGGGAGTTCTGATCAGATGGTCTTGGGACTTGTACCTCTTGACTCTTAGATATAGTAATGAAGAAGAAAGGGTGACCCCAGGTTATTCTCCCATGAGCTGAAGTTTGGAACTCTAGGCTTTTCCTGTCTCTCCTTTAGGGTGGGCATAACCTGAAATACCTAAGGCTTAGTATCAGGTGTCTGTTTATATTACAGTACACAGCACTTGCTTTCTGCTTTTGTCTTTCGGTTTCTTTAAACCACCTCGGGGTGGGGGATACATTTCCCCCTATGGATTGGTAACCCCTGCTCACAAACCATGAAAATGAAACAAGATTAAAGCAAATATTTGCTCTGTATACACATACACAAATATTTCACACAGACTGCAAGCCTGCCAAACCCCTTAACACATTCTAACTTTGGGAAAGAGTAATTGCAGCAGTGTTCACTTCTCAGTTCGAGTCTTCATTGGGTCCGGTTACCTAGGATTTCTCCACTGTGGACTACTTTTTCCTCCCAGCTGCTTCTCTCTGAATTCTGTTTCACGTTGAGAGCCACGGAACTGAGTGGGTGAGTGTATGATTATTGTGTGTGTCCTCATTTCTTAGTGTTTATTAATTCCTCTCAGAAGCTTTACACTCTGCTGTAGAAAGAAATGTAAGAATTTAGGGCTTTAGAGTATGCTTTCTTGGAATACAAGTTCTCTAAAGAATTCATGCAAATGAATATGAAGGTAGCTACTCACCCACTGTGATGGGCTTTCTGGTGGCAGTGGGTGATTTCTGTTCTTCTCCTGATGCCAAGGCAGAGACAATGCAGAACACCTTTTGAAAAGACTGGAAGGTCATTGTGCTGGAGGTTCTATATTTGTAGATATGGTTGACAGATTGGGACTAGAATACCTTCTATTTGCTTTGCTTTCCTGCAGTCTTCTTAGTAGATCTTATTGATCCCCATGAAATTAAGTTCCGTGAGAGGCTCTTGGCATCCTGGTATAATGGCATCCTGTTACGTTACGTTTGACACAGCCCACCCTGAGATTCATCACCTGCCTTCCCAATTAGATGCCTGTGCAGGCTGTTTCCTGCTTCCTGTAAAATACTCTGTGCTGCTCGGAATGAATCAAAGATCTGTGACCACATGGTGTCGCTGCTGAGCTAGGCTGCCTGGTGCATGGACACCCTGGAACTGTAAAGTAGTCCAGAGGTTTAATTTTTTTTTCTCAACATCAGTTTCACATAGTATAATTTAGTAGTTTTCCATGATACTGGTGGCACTTTCTTTTGGGTCTTTAGAGATTATTTCAGTGTCACAGTTAATAATATTCATCTTTCATTAAACATTTACTGTGTACTGGGTGCTATTACAGGATGGAATATGAAAGAACAAAATATACACACTAGTTATCTAAATAGTTTTACTGCATACCAGCTGTGTTTATACAGTTTGGTGCCTAGACACTCGCTCTTTATAGCAAATAGCACAGGAGATTTATGAGGCACCTCTGTGCTTCCATGTTACTGCGATATGAATGAGAGAGACTAGCAGGGTGATCCAAGTAGGAAAAAACACCCAAAGTACAGTTGACCCTTGGTATTTGCAAGGGGTGTGTTCTGAGACCTTCATCGACACCCAAACACCACAGTAGCATGTGATTTCCTCTATAAAATAACACCGTATGATTTCATGGCGTCCCTTGCATGACAAGACTAGGAAGCCAGGCTTGCTGGGGTGCAGCAGGCTCCTGGGGGCCAAACCGGACTTCCTCTCTGATCGGGTCTAACATTTAATTAAACCTCCCAGGGGCAGGATTGAAATTCGGGCCTCAGCAAATTTATAATATGTCAAAGAAAACCAATAAAACACATGAGCACATATATACCACACACACATATGTCCAGAGAAAAAAGACTGGAAGGAAATACAAGATATATACAGTATATTTTGGGGTGGTGGGCTAAGGTTGATTTTAATAAGCTTTTATTGTATTTTATCTTTTTAATTATTATTTTTTTATTCTCACCTGAGGACATTTTTCTACTTTTGTTCAGAGAGAGTGGGAGGGAGAGAGAGGAAGAGAGAGAGAGAGAGAAACATTGACTTAAAAGGGACACATCGAGTGGCTGCCTCCTGCATGACCCCAACCAGGGCCTGGGACAAATCGCAACTGAGGTATGTGCCCTCAACCAGAAGCAAACCCGAGACCCATTGGTCTGCGGGCCGATGCTCCAACCACTGAGCCACACTGGCCAGGGGCTGATTTTAATAAGCTTCTAAAACATTCTTTGTATTTTTTCAATTTTCTATAATGTACATGTATTATTTTTATAAAGAGTAAAACCAGTTATTAAAAAAAATTTAAAATTACTCTGTGTCAGTAGACTTTGAAGGCATTCCATACATGGTCAAAACTTGAATAATAGGCCAGGAGTCCCTTATAGATATTGATATTTAATTTAATGTTCGACATCTATAGCAATGATTTAAAAGCATTAGCTCTGTTAATAAATGATTTACGCTGGTGAATGGCCATTAGGCTTAATTGTGGCTCGCAGGGCCTCAGCTGTCTCTTGCTTCCTATGGGTGGAAGGTCCTCCTGGTTCATAATTGGAGTGTCCCACCCCTGCTTGGATGTAGCAGTCTCCTGATGGAACCCCTTGAACTGTTTCTCAGAGAGGACACATGTGCTGACATCTAATGGTGAATCCTTTCAGGCTGGTGACCTCCGTTCTGGAGGTGTGGGTGGAGCGTGAGACTCATGAGCTGCATGCCACTGGATCTCAGGTTTCTGTGTAGTGAGATTACGGGGCGACCACCACCCAGACCTGCCATCGGTGGTGATGGGAAGTTAGCAGGAATATGCCTTCACTCTGGGGGACTTGAGTGTGTTTGTGAGCGACACCAATTTTATAGAAAAAAAATTATTTCCCTTACAGAACCTAAAGTCCAATGGAGAAACTCACCTTCTTGCTTCCATTTGTATCTCTACCAGCGAAATGGCAGAAAGAAGAGGTGTGCAGTGGTGGCTTGAGGGGTCCGCCCTGACATGGATATGGGAACCTGAATGATGCAGAGCCTCAGCCTCCCTCTGTGTCCCAGAGCTGCTGCCGAGGGGGAGGGGGAGGAGGAGGAGGGTGGGACAGGGCCAGCCCACCCGCCCAGCACACACCCCTCTCTGGGACATCCTCGCTCTGGTCTAGGGAGCACCAGGCTCTTTCTGAAACCACAAAGCTGGGGCTCTTTGGGGCCTTCCTTGCAGCTGGTCACTAATGGTGTGGAGGTGACCTGAGAGAGAAGCAGGCAGGATATTGGCAGTGGTCCTGCGAGGGGGTCAAGGTGTAATTGTAACAAGAAGTGACAACTGGGTTTGTTATTAAAGCAACTGGCAGAAAATCACCCTGTTGTGTGTGCGTAACTGGTAGTGTGGGAGTTGTGGGATGGATCAGATAGGCTTACAAACAGAAACTAGTATCACATTTCAATTTAATTCAACCCCTAATTATTTGCCACGAACCCTCCCCTCTCCCATAACACAGGTATTTTTGGTTACGATAGTTTTGATAGTTGTAAACATGTCAGAAAATTCCTGTATAGTCCCTTCCTCCAGGGTGTTACCTTCTTGGTGTTGGTTGCTTTATGAAGAATCTTAACCTAAATTGCACCATATGGTTCTTATTCTTGCTTCTCCTGCTAACCACTTCATTTAACAAACACTGCGTGCCCACTAAGTGTGAGATCTCGCTG